ATAGTCATAAGAGGCATCGGTGGAGGAGCTGCAGACTTTCGTTGCATTCACTCTGGTTTCTCATGAGAAGGGTCCTAATGATCATCACACCCATAAACCACCCTAACCTGCATGTCTGCAGCTTTAGCGTGAGATATCAGAAGAGCAATTAGTTCTATTTCCTGTTACCCTTTGTACACCATCACAGCTCTTGTGCAGTCAGATGCACGCATATATTTCTGACTCATATAAATGTAGTGAACATGGAAGTGGTTTATCTTTAGGAAACGGTCGCATGATTTGAGAACCGTCTCGTCCTGAAAGCAAATTCTGACACTGACTGATCTGCAATAATGACTGAGGACAGATTTCCTCGCAGCCTCGTTTCTCAACTCCAAGTGTTGACTTTGATTTTTACTTTAATCAGGGGAAATACTTTGAGATCCAGTTCAGCAGAGGAGGGGAGCCAGATGGTGGGAAAATATCAAACTTTCTGCTCGAGAAGTCGAGGGTGGTCAGCCAGAACGAGAACGAGAGGAACTTCCACATTTACTATCAGGTGAGAGGCCGATGAGCACAAACCGCAGATTAATAGCAACTCCTTTAAAAAAAAGACAGAGTTCCTCTTATGCCGGGCTCACACTGTGTGATTTTGTCAGTCGCGCGATTCAGCTCCTGCTCAAACTGTACGATTGACTCGCTGCATCATCCCCAAACTTTCCTCAGCCACCCTCTCCAGACTTACATCGGCCCTGTGTTGATATCTGTTAACCCCTTCAAACAGATGCCCTACTTCACTGACAGAGAGATTGAACTCTATCAAGGAGCTGTAAGTGAATTTTCATCGGCGTCTTCTCATGACTTCTTTAAACTTGTGGCATATGTGGTGCAGAGGTTCTTCCTGTTGCCCTACGCTCGTTTTACTCAAGCTGACCTCAAACCGTTTCGCTCTACAGGCCCAGTATGAGAATCCACCGCACATCTACGCCTTGACTGACAACATGTACAGAAACATGATGATTGACGGGGAGAATCAGTGTGTTATCATCAGGTGAGTTTTCTGCTTCGCACGATGACGCCCACGCTGTGCCGTGAAGGTATGTTTGACAATAAAATATGGCTTTGCGGTGTGTCTGCCTTTTTTTTACGTGGCTGTGGTAGCGGTGAGAGCGGTGCTGGGAAGACAGTGGCTGCCAAATACATCATGGGTTACATTTCCAAAGTATCTGGAGGAGGATCGAAAGTGCAGGTAGAGACCGTACGCTTGCTCCGCCTGAATCTTCAAAATGAGTCAAAAAACCTTTAAACTTCCTTCAGTGTGGCGTGGAGGTTTTTCACTGTCTGGTATTGTGTTAATGTTTGTGTGCATGTGTGTGGCAGCATGTAAAAGAAATCATCCTGCAGTCAAGTTTCTTTGATGAGGAAACCCAGCTTGAGTAAAA